AGAAAAAAAAAAATGCAGATCAAGTCCAGAAGAAGATTTGGCGAAATTTCGAACACATTAAAAACATTAGAAACATTAGAAACATAAATATGTATTTCGATAATGCATAAATTTAAAAGTATATAATATAAATGCTTAAATTTGCTCTAAAAGAGCTCAGTCAAATCCGCATTTATTTATAACATTTATGCAAGATAAATGATTAACATTATTGCGGCATTGATGATAAGTAAATGTTTATTATAAGTATTTTTTGACAGAATATTAAATGAACTATATACGTAATCTTGATATTAGTGCATAAAATTTATTAAATTTATATTATTGTGTTCAACTGGATGAAGTTATTAAAAATCGACTTTCAGTTTGGTACAACAACCAAAAGTCGATCCGAAATGGTTATGAATAGATTTACGCAGAAATTGAATGAATATCATTGGTCAGATCGCTTACTGGAACTTCAATGCGAATTTTATTTTGTGTTTATGAAAAACAAAGTTGGAACATTATGTACGCGTATTTAATATAAATAAATCCACTGCTAGAAAAGGTTTACAAATTGTAAACGCACCTTCACAGTTGTGCTGAATGCGATACTTAATGCAGAAAACCAACGCTGGCGAATTGCTCTTTCGGATATTATAACTGCGGAGATCGATTAATGAAAGTGTATTACGACATATGTATTACGGCATAAATTGGCAAGATTTTGTTTCATGATATTATAGCAAAACACGAGATTCTTATGTGAGATCCTCGTATGATGATGTTTAGAATTCATCACAATAATCACCTAATATTGATTGGTTCTGGTGATATAACCCTCTTGGAACATATAACATTGTTTGTTATGCTAATTGGTCCCACAGCACGTTGATTTGTCCTGAGTATTTCCCCGTAATATTTATTGGTCCATTCTATATAACGGTGATAACATCTGTATCCTAATATCACATCATATATATATTGATATATAATATATATATATATGCATATATATATATATATATCATATATCATATATATGTACGTACGGTAGTTCACAATCCTTAGTTCCCGGACAATGAACTAAAGTATATGTGCATTTAATTAAAAATTGATATTTAAAAATAAATATTAATAATATTAATGGATATATATCAATATACTAATATCATTATACAATCACACAGTTTATTTTGAATGACATCTTGCCCATTTCTTCGGCATATTTCTTCGGCATAAATGTTGTGAGTCCAAAATTATGATTTGCAAACACTAAATAAAATAAGAATATTTGTTATTATATTTGTTATCTTCACTGGTTATATCACTAATAACAACTAATAACATAGTGACTGGCCTTTCTCTAAATAGCAATATAAAAACAATTTCCGAATTCCTTCGTGTAATAAATTTGAATCATATTTCACCATATTCTAAAACTGATTGATTGGCGCAACATCTTTTCCATTAAGTTTTTCTTGGAACTTGAGTTAATGCTATCACTTTTGAATTAACTGCTTACAGACGCCTCGATGCCTCTTATGTTAATATATTTCGGATAAAAAACAATTCAATAATTCCTTTTAAGAAAATTCGGAAGCAATAATGGTCATTAATCGCTGAATTTATACAGTTTCACAATTTGATTATCCACCTACACCGAATTTATATGCGAAGCAGAGGAAAATATGCATTAATATCACATCTGCAATTCAACAAAAATATATATTTATCATTTGAAACAAGGAAATTGGCACCTCCTCACTAAAATTCAAGGATCCGAATACCCAACCGGACAAAGGTACCTTGAAACTTTTTTTTTTTTTTTTGATGATTTTAAAACTTTATAATTGATCGATCATACATGCTAAATTCTGATAAAACTCATTAATCGCATATAAATTGCAGTTATTTTTGTAAGTACTGTAAATTTTATACTATTTATATAGTTTAAATTAAAAATCAATTCAATTTAATAGAATTTAATATAATATATTGTACTTTAAAATTTTATAAAGGAAAATATTTATATAAAGATCTCATCATCTTCCCCAAGAATTCGCGTTTTCTCAACAGAATATCTTTTTAAGAATCAATTCATAAATTTAAATATTTTGATTTCTTGTAAATAAAAGTGGATTGTCTTTCTATTACTTTTCACTTTTCGCTTTATTATTTTCGCTTTTTTTTTTTTTTAAGTAAAAAATATTGATAAATAAATAAATCCAAAGCTCTTAAAGTTCTTTTGAATCTTTTTGCAAAAAAAATTTTTTTTTTAAACAAAATGTCAACTCCATATAAAAGTTTTCCTTTCATATCATCTATTATATCACCACCACCATCTCCTAAAAAATATCCGATCATTCTTCCTCCTCTGAAATTTCCTTTTGAATTTAGAAATGATGAAACCGTCGATTCTACATCTCTTGAATCGGCAAACCAACAAAATGTAGTTGAAAATTCTTTTCTTCCTCCTATAAAACAACAAAGTAAATACCGGATGCGTTTATTAGATGCTCCAACTGATCTCTTGGACTATATTGAAAAATCGAAACCAACAACTCGAACTCCACCATCACATTGTCTTTCTAGATTCTCTTTGTCTAACGCCAAGTCTTCTCCCCTTGAGTTGAATCATGTAACTCCTCCGTTAACTCTTGGCGGTAACATTTCATCATATCCTATTGCGATGCCTATTAATCAAGATAAAAATGATCTAACCACTCATAAGATCTCGGTTGGTCGTAATCGGAATACTCGTAAGAATCCTTATCCTCTCAGAGCACCTACTATGAGTTCTCCAGGAATAACCTTTAAAGTTGATATGTATACACCCGTTTTAAAAGATCCTTTGGCAATTTTACGCAGTAATGAAGAACCTAAAAATAATACTAGTGCTTCAGAATTTTTTGGAATGTTGTCTCCGCCAGCATCTGAACAATGCGAATCACAACCTTCTTCTCCTCCAGCTGAAGATGCAAACTTTAAAATTCAAGAGTCAAATTCATTACCAGTTCGTCAATTATTGCCAAGAAAACCTAAACGTCCCAAGAACACTCAAACCAAGCGTCCAGGTACATCAGCACCTCAACGCAAGAGAAAAGGAAATAGTTTGGCCAGAGTAATGGCTGATCGAGGACTTTTGGAATCAGTATTCAATGCAGAAATTACTTCGAACGATATTAAGTCAGTTCGAATACCTCCACCACCTTCAATGCAATTTGACGAATTAATGTCTAGCATCAATGCGCTTAATCTCGACACTAGTATTTTAGAAAAGATGTCACCAGAGATTACTTGGAAGGGTCAACCGTTATCTATAGCACATTTACCTCATTATGATGCTTTACATCATACAGAAGCACATGTAGTATCTGTTCTTCGTCTCACACCAGTTCAATATTTAACAGGAAAGCATACACTTATTTCAGCAGCTCAAAGATATTCACAAAGAGCACTTCCTTTCCGCAAGAGTGATGCACAGAAATTACTTAGAATCGATGTAAACAAGGCCAGCAAACTTTGGGAATTTTTTCAACAGGTTAAATGGATTTAAGGATTTTAAAAATCATTATTCACATTACATTTAGAGTCTTTATTTTTTTTTTTTTACAAAATACAAAAAAAAAAAAAAACAAAACAAAACAAAAA